GTTTCATTTTTATCATTACATTATGGAAAATAATGACCTTTATCACAATATAATTTTTTGAGAAGGACCTGTACATATCGTGATATGAATTTTATGCCATATCGCACATTCCTAATTTTGATGTATTTGCAGTTATTGTCTATTGTTATTGTTCAATTTAGATGAGTTTTTTTTTCTTGTTTACAGATTTTTTTTTTTAACCTTTGCTTTAAAGTTTAATTCTTGTTTGTGATTTGTACATCTGCGGTTTAGAATAAAGTTGGAACTAAAGGCCGTAGTTCTTCATTAAACATATTTGAGGGAAGTATTCCTTTGAGATCCAATAATTTTGTGTCTTTTTATGATTTTTCAGCTGAGTTAACTTTAACAAATTATTTAATAAAGTCATTGAAGTGAAAACAGGATTTCATGATAAAGCTGGCACAGTTTATTTATTTTTTAATCGTTTCCAACCTCCGTCCCAGACCCGTTCCGGTCTGCACATCTGCCAGGATCGGGGTTTGGCCTTCGTGAGCAGGCGAGGCCGGGGTCTGGGCAATGGCCTTTTGCGAGTCAGCAGCTTGTATGAGCCTCCATGGTGACAAGCGGAGCTAGGAGCCCCCAGAGCACGCAAGGCCGTCATCCGGAGCCCAAGCCAGCAGCACGGAGGATCTTTCGCGGTGACCGGCGGAGCTCGGAGCCGGTGAGATGACACCCTGAGCAGGCTGTGGTGGAGAGGACCCGTGGAGCTCCATCTAGCTCGCTCTAAATTTGTTCTTCGGCCATCCAACACAAAAACGCCTGCACTTCAGCATTAGACCATGGTGTTGTCATTAGTTTGTTTTTATTGGTCTTAAAAATAGATCCAGCTGCTGCTCCAAGTTCCGAGTAATTGCAAATGGCTGATCGGTGTTTTGAAAAGTTTCTGAAAGATCCAGTGCCACCCTGCCCTCCCGACCAATCAGTGATCGACAGTGTTCTGACGTCACATTTTGTTGCCAGCTTGGCTCGGTTGGTCCCACCAGAGAAGCAGGGACCAAAAAAGGTGCCGGTTTCCACGAAAAAGTGCTTGTGAAATACGGCTCAAAAGCATACTGAACTGAGCCGAACCAGGCTGAAGAGGAGCTGTGGAAATGGCCCAAAAGTGCCGTCTTTGTCTTCCAGTAATATGAGCACTGAACAGACGCATACAGATATGCAGTTAAGCCCCTTGTTCTCATTTTAGCTCAAATCCAGGAATACAACTGTGAGAACAATGGAAGTGTGTTCTCCACCTGTCACCTGCTCATCAAACACATAAATATACTTTTAGAACTGTGCCCTTTCAGGTCTTCTCTTAAGAATCACTACACGATTGGAATAAAGTAATTTTTTCTTTAACATTTTTCCCACTGATTTTGAGTTTATTTTAGATCATAGTGTATTTGAACTGTATAATTATATGCATATATTGCTGCTTTAAGTTTGTGTTGCACTGGGTGAAACATGAAGCACTATTAATGATTTCATACTTAGTGCTACTCAGTTTGGTGAACTACACAGTTTATAATGTTAATAACCTGTCTGTAGTGTAATCAACAGCTTTGCAGGGAAATAAAATGGGAGTTTCAGAATTGCACCGCTCAAGGTGGCTGCATGTTGGAGTAACTCTTACATTCTTTCTGAGATTTTGCTTTTGAAAACTTGAATTACTAATTTTTCTGAATGTAAATCGCTTTTTTCGGATGATTACTTCCTGTGGTATCAGATGCTGTGCAGCTGGAATATTTTTACTGAAACCTTTTTTACTTTTGGACATTTGTTATGATTAGGGGTGCACCGATTGCAGTTTTCTGGCAGATCACCGATTTCTAAAAAGTCTGAACTGCCGATTACGATTTTGTTTTATAAGCGACACTGTCAGGTGTTATAAGGTCACAATGCACCTTCAATTGCCCAATCTTATTTTACTGAAAAACATACTCTTGAACAATATCCTAGAAACAATACAAACTTGTTTTAACTGGCCATGAGGTAGTGCTCTGAAATATAAATCAAGTTCAGACAATTGTTAAAACAAAACAAAAAAATCAGTAAAATCCGTTTCTCATGCAAGTATCGTTCGATTTACAATTTCCCAAAATTAAGGAAATCGGGGTCAATAAATTGGCCGGCCGATTTATCAGTGCACCCCAGTTATGATGCGTAACCGTAACAACAAGGTGGTTTTCTACAACTGGGAGTTGCTGATTAACATCTCAAAAGGTCAAATAAGATCTCAACTACAGCCCCAAATCCCAAATGAGTTGAAAAGGAGGTGCCGCGGGTGCATTACCGTCTATCTGGAGGCTGTGCTTGAGTGCCTGACCGCCGAGATCTTGGAGGTAGCGGGAAACACGGCCCGTGACAGCAGGAGGACCGAGATAGTCCCCCTGCACCTGCAGTTAAGTTTGTGGTGACGAGGGGCTCAGCAGGCTGCTGGGATAAATGGCCATCGCTTGGGGAGGAGTTCTGCCCAGCATTCAGGCAGTCCTGCTGCCCAAGAGGACCAAGAGGTCTGCTGGGTCTGGGTGGACGGATCGGCATCTGCAGCCAGTTTCTTCAGATCTGTTGTGGAACGGACTGCTACAAAAATCCTTCCTGCCCCAAATCATCAGCATCTAGAACATATGTGTCCAACTCAAGGCCCGGGGGCCAAATGTGGCCCTCCTTAACATCGTATCTGGCCCCCAAGATGTTATTTTAAATGTAAAATACTTTTATCACTTTAATTTTTTTCAGTAATCTTTTATTATGATGTCAAAAATGCAACAGAAAATGTCAAATGAGACAAATCAAACTCTTGTTGAGGAACCTTCAACCAAGAAAAGATGTTGGTATCTAACTTGACTTAATGTAGATTATGAATCCGGCCCTTAGTTTGAAAAAGGTTTTAACTTTTACCCCCTTTTGTAAGTGGGTTTGACACCACTGATCTAGAACAACTAATGAAACCAAGATGAGCTACAACAGTCCTCTTCAAATAGTGGGGTGCGCCCCCCTGGTGGGGCCCAGGGCAATGCCAGGGTGGGTGCATGTGACCCAGGGAACATGCTTTTTTTGCCACAGGGAGTAGTTTTTTTTCGCCACCATTCTCATTTTGTTGGTGCGTTCCAGCAGCTGTTTGCTCGTATCTCTCAGACTTACTACTAATAAAGTTATGAACAAATATCGCTGCCTGGTTGTTGTGGGAGCCATGCTTGGACCCCTCTGCTGCTCAGACATAAACTCCGACACCTCCGCTGCATGTGCTTTATGTCCATGCGCTCTGGATGTCACCCACAGCACACATGCAACAAAGAGTAAACTCAAAGCGAGAGCGACACCTGCCCCTCTTTTCTCTTTCACTTTGACAAAATGTTTTAGTTTTATCGATGAGTGTGCTCATTGATCCTGACTTCCTCATTTTGATAAAAAAAATCAGCACAGATTGTTTTATTCATTATTGTTTTGTTTTGTTTTGGTCAAAGTGTTTTATACACACTCCTGAGTTAAAATGTTGCTGATCAATTTGAATTTATTATTTATTGATTATATTTAATTTGATTAAATTATTTTTCAGTATCAAATGTTCAAAAATGTTCAAAGTTTAAATTTTTTTTTTTCAGGCAAATTGATTAACTTAAAGTTTTTGTATTGAACGCTTTTTGAATGCACTTTAAGTTGTTTCTGTTACAGACTAAAAACAATGTTAATAAAGTTATTCTACCTTGTAAGTTGATCTATTTTCTTTAATGGTAATAAAAACAGTGTTATGCAGAGGTGTACTTATAACAATTTTATAGACAAATTATACTATTTACAGTTGTGGCGGAGAGTTGGGGGGTAACATAAAATAATTGAGAAGTACTGACCTACAACACCAGTTAGTTTTCCTATGGGATTAATAAAGTATTTTTGAATTAAATTGAATTGAACTGCTTGTTTTTTGTTGCAGGAGATGATGCAGACCTTTGCAGTGAACTTCTCCAGGAGTCTCTGGATGCTCTGCGAGCACTGCCTGAGGCAACGCTTTTTGATGAAGGAACTGTGTCATCAGTGTGGCTGGAAGTTGTTGAGAGGGCAACAAAATTCTTAAGGTTTCT